CAGGAGGGGCAGTCCCATGACTAATTTCTCGCCAGGCCAAGTTGGGCCTGGCAGGGTCCTGAGAGGTACCCAGGGCAGCCCTCCTCTTGGAGAAAAGTGTGGGAAAGTCAGCAGACTGGTTACCAGCCTTCATTGCCATTTCTTGGGAACAGTATATCACCCATAGGTTTGTTAACACACTATCACCTCTTCTGTCTTTGCAGAGAAGTTTATTCCTCACAACTTACCATTAGCAAATGTAGGTCTTTGACATTAGCAGAAATCAGAGATTATTCCATAGAAGATGCTTATTTCAGTCCAGTGAGTAAAGGCATCTGCAGTCCTGGCTCTCTTGGTATACATTCCCCAGCTACAGGACCCTCCCTCCATCCATGGGTTTAGACCCATGGAATTACTAGATTCCAGATTCCTGGGGTCTTTCCATTGGTCTAGGGTAGCATTTTCCAAAATCCATCCCATGGGATGTTAGTGTGTTTTGCATTAATAATGTCTCTGTGGTCAAACACGTTTGGGAAACCCTGGGTTAAATAAAACTAAACAGAGTTTCTTTATCACAAGACTTTTCGGAGTCTTTATTTGATGGTAAGAAAGATTAATTCCTAAGAGAAAATACAAAGTTTGGCAGTTTACCAAACTTATTTGACCACAGAATTCTGTCACATTATTATATTATTACTAATGTTTCAGAGACTGTAATGTGTGGAATAAGATACATTAGGAGGTACTGAACTCATAGAAAGCATATCCAGCAAGGAGTGAGATACCTGAATTCTGTTTCCAGTTTTGCTTCTGCTAAGCCTCTGGGAAAATCATTTCACCTGACTGGTATCAGGCAAATTAACAACTGCATTTGAGAAATTCTTTAAAAGGATAAAGTGGAGAATAAAAGTGTAAAGGATTATTATCCATGTTATTAATTTAATTGCCTTACTCAAACTTTCTCAGAAACTCTGAATAAAGGCTTTTGCCCCATTGGAAAATGCATCTGTTTATAACCAGACTGCAAAATTCATGAGAAATTTTCCATAGCTTCTCTGAGGAATCCACAGAGAATGGAGGTCTTTGATATGATAGAGCAAGAAATTACTGGTATTATTACACTGTAAATTGAAGATGACCTGTATGGGAAATGTGCCTTTTCAGTTGTTAAAGAGAATGACTTGTCGTCTTTTGAAGATGTATACTTCTTTATTCATGCTTGCCAAGCACACTTGCAGACCCCAGGTGTCTGGACAGGCATCAGCTGCTCACATCACAGTTCTCTCTCTGTCCTCGCCATGGGCTTCAGGGTGTGCTACTCTCTGCTTACTCACCCGGCTGCTCACCAAGTCCCCTGGTAAGTGATTGCTAAAGGGTCAGAGGAGGAGAGTTCCCAGCCCTGCTCCTTCTGGCCACCCCAGTTTCCATAGTCCTCTTGCAGAGTTGACCTAAGACAGTCTTTGTTACAGTATGCAGTCCTTTGAGCCATTCTTCCTTTGGGTACAGCCTAAGCCCTTTGCAGTTGGCCCTCAAGGCCAGGCTAATGGCTCAGATCTTATGCAAGTGTCCCTGAGGTTTCCACAACTCCTAGAAACTTCTAGTATCCTTAGTCCACTGTAGTTGGGGACATCTATTCTCTGTTTCCACCCTCAGGACTAAAGTACTCCCAACGGCCATATATGCTGCTAATTATCCATTAGTTTCCAGCTAAAGAGAGGTTTGGAATGAAATGTATCCACAGGGGACACATGTGTGTCACTTGTGGATTGTACATTGTGTGTAGTCTGCCATGGGAGATAAATTGAGTTAATTCCTGTTTTGAGGTTATCCCTCAGAAGAGAGTGAGAAGCCCTGGGATACAGCCAAGCCAACAGTGAAGTCCCCAGGCCCAGTCACGATGGGTCCATTACCCCCTGAGTTTGGTTCCTATGTGTCTCCAGGCAACAACTCCCATCACCATGAATGGGGGACCCTGGGCAGCACTAATCTCATTGTTAGGTTTTTGCGTAGTTTGAGGATGGGCTAAAATAGCTCTGTATCAGTTTCCTGTTGGGGCCATAACAAATGACCACAAACTGTAGCTTAAAGCAGCACACATTTATTGTCTTCCAGCCTAGAGTCCTAAAATAAAGGTGTGGGTAGGGCCACGTTTGTTCTGGAGGCTCTGGAGGAAGAAGCTGCTTCTTTGCCTTTTCCAGCTTCTACAGGCCACTTGCATTTCTTGGCTCATTCTTCGCTTCCTCCCTCTTCACAGCCAGTGGCACAGCATCTTCACATACCTCATTCTGACCTCTGCTTCCATTGGCACATCTTCTCTGACCTTGGCACTCCTGTCTCCCTCTTAAAGGACCTCATGATTACGTTGAGCCATTCAGACATTCCAAAATAATCTCCTCATGTTAAGATCCTTAACTCAATCATAACTGCAAAGTCCCTTTTGCTCTGTGAAGTAACATATTTGCAGGTTTGGGGAATTAAGATTTGGATATCTTTTCAGGCTCCGTGATTCTGTCTACCTCAGGCCCCCTCTGGTTTTATGGTTCTGTGCATCTCCCAGGTAGCTTCACAGCCCTCACTTCACACATTTGTCAGCCACCAAGGCCTGTGCCTCCTTGACCTTTAACCTACGTGGAAGTCTGCTTGCATTATGAGTTTCTCACTTCAAACATCAGCTGAGTGTGAGCCCATCTGTAGGAGCTAGAGTGCTTCATTTTCAGAAAAGGGAGTGGATTATCTGGAAATCCAGTTCCTCGGCATATATTATGTGAACATTTTTATGGGTGAGGTCACACTTTGCTCTGAATAGATGGCACCAGCAAAGTGTCAGCCCAGGTCTCAACCTAGAAGTGGAATTAAGCCTTTCTTCCCATCCCAGATGACTTTCTCTGATTCAACAGATGGACTGCTAAAATTCCAACAATGGAAGAAATGTTTTACCTTTTGGTCAGGTTTTGGCTCTTGCTAGGCCTGAGTTTATTGCTTTATCTTGGTTCTGCCTGTCTAGGTATTTATTTCTAATCGTTGTTTGGGAAGCTCAATCCACCTGTGTTGGTCCCCGTGGTCCCCAGCACACATCTCAATGCTCATGATCTGGGGGACAGCTGGAAGCTTCCATTTTTTTCAAGGTGGAAAATAATCTACTCGTAGCACACCTGGTCTTCACAGTCAACAAGAGACTTACAGCCTAGTAGCCACCCCTTCAGGACTTGTACTGAGCACCTACTAGGTGCAGGCATTGGGCAGTGCTGCCATTATTTCCCAAGGTTTAAGGGCTTTCAGGATTCATTTCCTTCCCAGAGTCAGCCACCCAATGAGCAGTTACAAATGCATCTCTAGATTACATCACCTTGTGTTTTAGCCACGACAGAGAGGATAGCTTGTAATCCCTTTGCCCCCTTCCCGTTCCCCAACCCCAAATATGTTTCAAGAAATACTCATTTAGTTATCTTTCACAATTTCTTTAAAAATTATAAAATACAAGCATTTTATAAAGTGGGTAATAAGACAGGACAAATAAATTTTACTAAAGGCAGAGAGGCATGGCATAGCTTTTACCAAGCACACCACTCTAGCACTGTAAGGAAGAAAAATTGTTTCTATAATAAATTCTACTCTGATTGTGCTAGGCCATGGCCCTGGACTTATTTAAAAGTATGTGTAAAAGCCAAAGACGTGAAATTTAAGAAATCCTTAGGATTTGGTAGGGGCCAGGCTGTCTTTGTTTTGTTTATTGGGTTTTTGGAAATTTAAGGCTAGGCTTGTTGCTTTTCCAGCCACAGAGCATGGTAAAGTAAATGAAACTCGACAGGATTTCATTGTTCGGATGCTGATCGCAGCTTGGCACACATGGAGTTCCATGTATACCTTACATGCATATTGAGCCCGTGTTTAAAATAGTATAAGTGGGTAAGAAAAATTTAAGTACAGGCAACTAAAGAATGATTTGCAACTACAAATGAAAGTAGCGTGGATCTTTGAAGGCTGACAAGTCCATGATTGGTTAGGCAGGGTGAGATTGTGTGAATGAATCAGCAGGCAGACTTTGCCCTAAAGCCGAGTAGAAAATGAAGTATGGAAATGATGCATAGGCTTTGGGGAAACCTGCGAAGTGTAGGATTGATTTTGATTTGTGTCTTTGTCCAGCGCTATAGTTGATTGGATTCTTGCTGGGGGAGGCCCATCACCTCAACCCTCTGGGGCTTGCCTCTGGGGCTTCCAGAAATAAGCTTAATCTCTTTCCTATAGCAGCCCCTCAGACACGTGGGGGAGCAGGAAAGCTCTCAGGCCTTCCTCAGATTGCTCTTCCTCAAATTATACAGCCCCATATCATCCAGGTTTTTGTTATAAGACACAGCTTTAAAAAATTCATTGTAAGTTAGTCATTAATTTCATGAATGTCTTGATTTGTGGGAAACAGAGATGCCAGTGTCTTTATAGTTCATTCCCTTTAGCTCTATGTTTCAGGGAAAATATGTTGAGTGGATAGCAACAAAAAGCGTATAGGGGACAGGGAAATCGCCCCCATTCACATATTGCTCCCAGCCCCCTTTCTTATCTGTTTCATTTACAGTTCTTAACTGTTTAATTTACTTAATGTCTTGATTTGGCTTAGCTAGAAAGTGCGTGTAGAGACACTTGACTAAGTAGGCAGTTCCTTTGCTAAATGTTGGCTTCATTTATAACTGGAAGAGCTTTATCTCTCTGTTTTCAGATCCATGAGCTTTATAGCATAGAAAATCTCCTGAGAAAAATCATCTAATTGGAAAAACAGGCATTTTATTGAGTTAAATCAAATTCATAATCACAAATAATTTTGAACATGTTTTTCCAGCATTTATAGCTCCATACCATGACCTATATGATTATTATACAGAGCTCCTAGATGAAATTAAATGAAATGGACCAGAGCCGAGGCAGACTGGCCTTCCCTGCAAAGCTGGGTCTTTGTTGCTGGTCTCCTCTCTTTCTGGACATTACATAGGTTCTGGCCTCCATGGAGTAATTTTCCACTTCTGCTGCAGGTAGAACAAGTCAGCCAGTTGGCCGTGTTCATAGAGGCAGCATTAGACTATCACAAACAGTCCACAGAGATTCTGCAGGAGCTGCAGAGCAAGCTACAGATGCGGTAAGCGCCTCCACGTTTCTTACAAGCCAAGGGCTGCGGAGGTAACATCTATTGAAATCCATGTGTCTGTCTCTCCATCTCTCCATCTCCCCTTTCCCCCACCTCATTCTGTTCTGAATTTTCTTTCACCGGCTTTCATGGTTGGATGTGGGATGGGACTGAGATAATAAGTACTGGCTTTGGCCAATAGGGTAGAACTGGGAAAAGGGACTTGGCAGCTTTTCTCCTTTTTCTTTTCATTAAATCCCTTTTTTGGTGACCTGTGTTTAGGGCAACTAACCAAAGTTGCTCTCCCACCTGGGACATCAACTCCTACAGAACTACCCTGGCTTCACTGCTGATTTGATGAGAGTTTAGCTCTCCATTCACAAAGAGTTGGAAAACATCCAGAGCTATGGAAAAAAGTGAGATGCTCTATGGAAAATATGTAAATATCTGTTTTTTAAAAAAAGATAATGTTTTCACTTCACCAATACGAATTTCAGGCTATGTTCATATTATTGACTGGTATTGAAAGAGTCAAAATATTGACAAATTTGAGGCTGTGTTCATAATATTGACAGGTATTGAAAGAGTCAAAAATATTTTCTGAACAATCAAAGAAAGGTTTCTGTGTTCCTTGTGACTTTAATAATAGATGTAGTCTATACTTTTCTGAAAATTAGTAATATCATATCCTGTTTGCATGGCAACCCTACTTATTAGAATATTGGGTTAAAAATACCCTGTTTTAAAACTAGATTTGATAACAGAAAATTGTTTTACACAGGATTATGGTAATGCATAAATTTCGAGGGATTTTTACTTAAATCAGTGACTTAGTTACACAGGGAAGACAAAGATGTGTTAAGTCCCTGAAACATCCACTTCTGCAGGCAGATAGTTTACCTATTACTCACAGGAGTGTATTTTCATAATTCTATTGTAATCTATATGAGTAGAGTGAGGGAGAAGGCAGCTCCCATCACTGGATGCTGGCCGCGTCCCAGGCACTTGCTGGATGCCTCAGAGACCTGATGAAGAAAATTAGTCTTTTTTTTTGAGATGAAGTCGTGCTCTGTTGCTCAGGCTGGAGTTCTGTGGTGCAATCTCAACTCACTGCAACCTCTGCCTTCCGGGTTCAAGAGATTCTCCTGCCTAAGCCTCCCGAGTAGCTGGGATTACAGGCGCCCACCACCATGCCTGGCTAATTTTTGTATTTTTAGTAGAGATGGGGTTTCACCATGTTGGCCAGACTGGTCTTGAACTCCTGACCTCAGGTGATCTGCCTGCCTTGGCCTCCCAAAGTGCTGGGATTACAGGCATGAGCCACCATGCCTGGCCCAATTAGTCTTCTTCAAGGTGAATTTCACTCACAAGCTCAAATAGAGTTGAAAAGCTACATTTGTGATATCACCTCCATCACTTTTGACTACTCAAGAGTCAGTGTGTAAAAATCATCCCTTTCATGACCACTGGCTGTAACCTAAGTTCCTGTACTCAACAAGGCAGAGAGAATGTGTGTTTGGAAAGCTTTCAACATCAAATGTCTGGCTCATCTTATGATGTATGTTACAGAATATCAGCTGCATCCAGTGTCCCCAGACGAGAATACAAGCCAAGGCCTGTGAAAAGGAGTGCTAGTGAGCTCAATGGGGTTTCCACCACCTCTGTAGTGAAGACGACAGGTAAGTTTACCATTCTAATATGCTAAGTGTGCCTTTAGTAAAGCACTTCTAGAAACACACACTTACGCTTGTTTCTGGGTCAGTGAATACACACAGACCCTGGATATCTTTCTTTGGTTGTTTGGTAAGTTCCCTTTTCCCCTAAAAGTGCCCCTTTTTTTCTGTTCCCTGGGGAAGAATTCTATCACTTATATAATGTGGCATTTAGAACCTTGGCCATAGAACCATTATTGCTACATCATCCTTTATTTTTTTAACTCTTTGAAAATATTTTCTTAATTTATTTTTAAGTTGAAATTAGCATTTCTGAGCAACTGTTATATGCTAGATACTATCTTAAGTGCTGCATCATTATTTTTTATTAAACAAGTGACGCAAATGTGTCTTTTAGTAAAATAATCAAACAAAAAAATTGGTAAAATAGTCACACAGAAAAAAGATTTAATGGTGTAAGTCATTCTATAGTCTCTTGTGATTACCCACACCATCCCAGTTCACTTCCTAGATGTAGCCACTGTTAAAAATTTGGTATAACTATTGTCATATCTATTGATGTACATAGATATACACATAAATACAGCGTTTTGGATTTTTTTCTGTTTTTTATTTTTTTCTTTTTTGAGACAAGGTCACCAGGCTGTAGTGCAATGGCATGAACATAGCTCAGTGCAGCCTTGACCTCCTGGGCTCAGGTAATCCTCCTGCCTCAGCCTCCTATGTAGCTGGAACTACAGGCATATGTGACCCTGCCAGGCTAATTTTTTTCTTTTTTGTAGAGACAAGGTCTCACTTTGTTGCCCAGGCTGGTCTGCAACTCCTGGGCTCAAACAATCCTTCCGCCTCAGCCTTCTGAAGTGCTGGGATTACAGGCATGAGCCACTGTACCCAGCCTTGTTGCTGTTTTTTAAATGCGAGATTATACTAGGCATATTGTTCGGCAGTTTTCTTTTTAAAATGTATCACTGTTTCTTGGAGTTATTTCCATATCATGCATATAGATCTATCCCACTGTTTTAACAGCTTCATAGTTTTCTATTATACCATTTCCCTATTAGTGGACATTAAGGTTTTTTCCAGTTATCCACTGTGCTGGCTACACTACTATTAAAGCATGAACACCTGCTTCTCCACACCCATGCCAGTTGACTTCCATTTCTGCCAAGCACTCATGAGAAAAAAAATGGTATCCCATCTTAATTTGCATTGCCATGATTATTAGTGAGGGTGAACTTTCTTTTCTGTATTTTAATTTGTATTTCCTTGTGTCTGAATTCAGTCTGTTTATGTCATTTATTTGTGTTTTTTGGAGGTAGTTTGCTTTATCTTGTTGTTTTATAGGAGTTCTTTCCATATGGGGATATTAATAATTTTTTTCCCAGTTTGTCATTTATCTTTAAACTTTGCTTATGGAGTGCCTTGTCTCTTTGTAGCTTTTGCTGTTGTTTGCTTTGTTTAGTTTTTCTTCCAGTATACAGAAGCTTTTATTTTGATGTAGTCAAATGTATCTGTCTTTTGCTTACGACTTTTACATTTTGTGCCCTGTCATGATTACATTTTGTGCCCTGTTGTGAAAAGTCTTCCTATCCCTGGAGTTACTCTTCTATGGTTTTCTACTACTTTGAATAATCTTTTCTTAATATTTAGATCTTTATCATGAGGATTTATTTTTGTAAATGAAAAGAAATTCCCAAACTATCTTTCAGAGTTGTGCTACTGTTTCACATCCCCACCAGCAATGCATTAGTGATCCAGTTTCTCCACATCTCTGCCAGCATTTGGTGTTGTCACTATTTTTTATTTTAGCCACTTTGATAGGTGTGTAGTGAATCTTACTGTGGGTTTAATTTGCATTTCCTTAGTGATTAATGATGTTGAGTATCTTTTCATGTGTTTATTTACCATCTGTGTATCCTCTTTGGTGAAATGTTTCTTCATGTCTTTTGTCCATTTTCTAACTGGATTGTTTACATTTTTACTGTTGAGTCTTGAGAATGCTTGATTTATTCTAAATACAAGTTCTTTCTATATATGTGATTTGCAAATATATTCTCTCTGTAGCTTATCTTTTTATCCTTTTAACAGGGTCTTTCACAGATCAAAATTTTTAATTCTTATGAAGTCCAGTGTATTCATTTTTACTTTTATAGATTGTGTGAAGTCTAGGAATTCTTTGCCTAACCCTAAGTACTAAAGATTTTCTTCTATTTTCTTTCCTTTTTTTTTTGAGAAGGTGTCTCACTCTGTAGCCCAGGCTGGAGTAGAGTGGTGCAATCTCAGCTCACTGCAACCTCTGCCTCCCAGGTTCAAGCGATTCTCCTGCCTCAGCCTCGCGAGTAGCTGGGACTACAGGCGCACACCACAATGCCCAGCTAATTTTTGTATTTTTAGTAGAGATGGGGTTTTGCTATGTTGGCTGGGCTGGTCTCGAACTCCTCACCTCAAATGATCTGGCTGCCTCAGCCTCCCAAAGTGCTGGGATTACAGTTGTTGAGCTACCATGCCCGGCCTCTCCTATGTTTTTTCTTAAGTCTGTGATCCAGTTTGTGTTAATTTTTGTATAAATGTGAGACTTAAGTTGAGATTCATTTATTTTGCCTAGGGGTGTCCAATTGCCCTTTCAAACACACATTGCTCATATAAGCTGCACAGTGTGAATTTTCTTCCATCCCTATTGCTATCCTTAAAGGTTTTTGTTTTTTTTTTTCCATTTAAAAACAAAAATTATCAGAGTAATATGTATATGTAGTTTAAAAAGAAAATGGTAATATGCATATGTGGTTTTAAAAATGCAAATGTAGTTACCTCTACCTCTGTGTGAAAACATGGGCAGGCCCCATGAGTTTTCTCATTAGTAAAACTATAAATTATCAGAATATATGTGTATACATTTTTTAAAAAAACATGGTGCAAGCTTTTTCGTGAGAAATGGTAGTTTCCCCTTCAACTCCTTTCCCAGTGCTTATTTTCTGCTCTCAGAGGAAACACTTTCAACTCTTTTGCATATTTATTTGGTACTTAACTTCATGATGCTTGTTTTTTACAATTTCTTGATTTTTCAGTTTTGGATAAATGTATTGATTTCCTGACATGGAAGATAAAGGCTTAGCTTTGTAACCCTTGGTCTTCCATAGACTTCTCCCTCCTTTCACCCTTCCAATTTACTTATAATCACTGTTATTGTTAAATAAATATTCATTGTATAACCATCACTTCCATCATGTGGGACTCTTAAAATGCCCTCCTCCCCTTTTTCCCTGCTCTTATTTTGAATTGCCTGCTTCTGGATGAAAATGTGAGCAGTCTCCATGGCTTCTCTGACCACTCTTGGGTCACATAAGTTCTCCAGTCACTTGAGTGTGTAAGTGCAGGCTCGTGCAGTAGTCAAAATGCTAAGACCCATGTCACAGTCAAAGCTTTCATCTTGATTTAAAGTTCGGCTTTCACTCCTCCCCAAGCTCTGGCCTGTTGCAGTGGGAACACTGGTGTCAGGGAAGAGGTTGTCTTTGGCTTTTTCTCTTTCCCCATCTACCCCTTCTGTTAAGTCCCCAGAGAATGTATTTTAAGCTCCCTGAAGAATCTTTTGAAAGTCCTTCTCTCTTGATTTGGTGTGAAATGAAAAGGTCACAACACATCCTGCCTCCTCCACACTCTCTCCAAACATTTTTCTAAAAATCCTTTTTAATGTCCATCTTCTGACCTGTTAATGCCATAGATGTAGGCTGGGATTGAAAGTTACAAAATTGGCTTCCCTCATCTCTTCTCTTTTCGTTTGTTTCCAAATCCTGCATAAGTTGTCTTCTGCACATCAGTTAAAACAAAGAAACAAACAAACAAAAACAGTTCTGGGGCCTCATCCAAAACTTCCATTTTTCCATCCTCTAACACTTGTTTACAATGTCGTGAGCACAGAAATAATATTCACAGCAGTATCACATAGTATACTATCATTGCATTTCTATTCTTATACAATTGTTGTTGTCTTGATGACTGTAGCTTTGTAAGTTTTGAGGTCAGGTTCTGTTAGTCCTCTAACTTTGGTCTTCATTTTAAAAATCGTTTGACTATTCTAGTTACTTTGCATTTTCATGTGAGTTTTAGAGATCAAATTTTCAATGTTTCAAAAAAATTCCTGCTCAGATTTTTATTTGGATTGGGTGAATCTGTAAATCAATTTAAGAGGTATTGATAGCTTAACAATATTGAGTGTTCCAGGCTGGGCGCGGTGGCTCACGCCTGTAATCCCAGCACTTTGGGAGGCTGAGGCGGGCAGATCACAAAATCAGGAGATCAAGACCATCCTGGCTAACATGGTGAAACCCCGTCTCTACTAAAAATACAAAAAATTAGCCAGGCATGGTGGCAGGCGCCTGTAGTCCCAGCTACTCTGGAGGCTGAGGCAGGAAAATGGGGTGAACCTGGGAGGCGGAGCTTGCGGTGAGCCAAGATTGCACCACCACACTCTAGCCTGGATGACAGAGCGAGACTCTGTCTCAAAAAAACAAAAACAAAACCAAAAAAACAATATTGAGTGTTCCAGTCTTGAACACAGTCTATTTTATTTCCCATTTATTTAGGTCTTCTTGAATTTCTCTCAGCAATGTTTCACTATTTTTAGAATATATACAGGTCTTTTAAATTTTTGCATCAATCTCTAAGTATTTTATATCTTTATGCAATTGTAAACAGCATTTTAATAAAATTTCCATTTCTGAATTTTTGTTTCTAGCATTCATAATATTCCATTGATTTTTGTATATTGATCTTGTATCCTGCCATGGTGCTAAATTTACATCTTAGGTCTAGTAGTTTTTTAATAGATTCCATAGTTTTTCTACATAGATGTTCATGTCCTCTGTAAATGAAGACAGTTTTACTTGATATCTGCATACCTTTGTTTTTCTTGCCTTTTTTCACTTGCTAGAACATGCTGAGTACAAAGGGTTAGAGTGGACATCCTCGCTTTGTCTCTGATTTTAAGGGAGAAGCATTCAGTACTTCAT